TTTGGGTTTAGCTCTTAGACCTACCTTTGTTAGGTGTATAGCCCAGGGAAAGCAACTTTAAATCCTCAGTGCCTCAGTCTACCCATCTGTAAAATGGATGTAATGACGGTACTTGCCTTACAGATTGTAGTAAAGACTAAATGAGTTCATGTATCAGGTCGTTTGGGTTTAGCTCTTAGACCTACCTTTGTTAGGTGTATAGCCCAGGGAAAGCAACTTTAACTCCTCAGTGCCTCAGTCTACCCATCTGTAAAATGGATGTAATGACGGTACTTGCCTTACAGATTGTAGTAAAGACTAAATGAGTTCATGTATCAGGTCGAACCATATGAAATTACCAGTATCTGACTATTTCTGATGGTCATAAATGGAAATTGTATATAGTCCAACCTAATGTGCAAAATTTTCTGTGTAGCAGGTAGAGGGTATGCATTCCAGACATAGCAGCTGTCGTTCTCATTGTCAGCAGCAGCGTGTCACTGTCAGTATTACCACTGCTGCTCCTGCTGCTGTTGCTACATCGTTATTGCTGAAGGTGGTGGCTCCTGAGGCTGATGTTTCATGTTCCATGTACCCTCTAATCAGGAAGCTGGAGCCTGCCAAGGACTTCCTAAGTGACAAGCTTCTTGCTGAGTCTGCAAAGAGTAATCTGACCTCGCCTCTGCTCTTGTGGAGTAGAAGAGCCCCTGGTGTGACAGACTTGTGTGCAAAGTGCAATGGGGGAAGCTTGGTGGGAGGAGGGGTGGCCAGACCTTCCAGGCAAGGTCAGTTAGAAGGGCCTTGTAGGATGATTGGGAGTTTGGGGTGGGAAGAACATTCTAGGTTCAGGTTATAGCTTGTGCTTGGGAGGGGGGACAGACAAGCTTCAGGAGAAGCCTGAGGTTTGACTCTGGGGTGGAGGGTGGGGAGCAGCCCAAGGTAGCATAGAATGGGTTCACAAATAACCCCCATCCTTTCCCTCCACAGGTGGCCCTAGTGTGCCAAACATCCTTGGACACCCAAGTCTAGAAGACCTCTCTTCCTCTGCCTCCGTCATGGCCGCAAGAACCATTGTCATTGACCACGGGTCTGGCTTTTTGAAGGCTGGCCTGGCTGGCTGGAATGAGCCCCAGATGGTCATGCCGAGCATTGTGAACTACATACCGTGCAGGGAGAACCCCGGCCCCAGCTGCGCCCAGAGGCGCGTGAGCCTGGGCATCGACGTCTACCATCCTGACACCTTTAGCCACCCCATACAGCGTGGCCGCATCCTCAACTGGGAGGGCGTGGAGTACATCTGGTCGGTTGTCTTGGAGAATCACAGACGGGAGCAGGAGAACTCTCCCGTGATGGTCACAGAGTCCCCCATGAGGGAGCCTGGGGACCGACGGAAGACCCTGGAGGTGAGGCGTGCTCGGGGCTGCCCTGCTCAGCTGGCACTTTGTGTCTGGATATGACGGGGCACTAGGAATTCTGTTTTGTAAATAATTTGCCCCAGAAGTATTTTCTGAGTATTTAGTATGTGTCCAGCATGGTGCTAGGCAAGTGGTCCATGGAGACTCCTGCAGACAGAGTCATAGCAATTAAAATGCTCGGTGGAAAGGGTGCTACCAGGGGAGACACTGAATATCTGTTCATGGATTTCATAAATGTTCATAGACTGTGTCCTGGCCCTCAGAGAACTTCTATTCTGAGGGAAGACTTGACCATGAAGAGGTTAACAAATAGGGATTCCAGATAGTGATCATTTCTAGAAACATAATGACTGGTGGGAAAGGGCGGGGAGCCTGTTTGAAGAAGGTGATGAGGGAGGGCTTCTTTGAGGAGGTGATTTCAGCCAGTGAGGCTGAAGCCCAGTAAGGGTGGGGGGTGGGGGTGGGGTGGCAGCAAAATGCAAGTAGGATGATGAGGTCAACAGGGGTCGGACTTCAAAGGCCAGCCTGTGGGGAGTGCTTGGATTTTACTCTAAATCAAGAGTTGGCAAACTATGGCCAGTGAGCCAAATCTGGCCCACCACCTGTTTTTGTAAATAAAGTTTTATTGGAATGCAGCCACACCCACTCATTTACATATTGTCTAGGGCTGCTTTCACACTACAGCAGCAGAGTTGAGTAGATGCAACAGAGACTGTATGAGTATGGCCTGCAAAGCCCAAAACATTTGCTATCATTGGTTTGCTAGATAAAAATACAGGATGCCTTGCTAAATTTAACTGGGCGTCCTATATTTTTGTTTGCTAAATCTGCCTCTCCCTTTATAGAATATGCTTACCAACCCTTGCTCTAAATGACTAGGAAGTTCCTGGAAAGTTTTAAGCAGGGCAGTCATATTTGATTTTTTTGTTAGGAAAAGAGAAGCTTGGCTGCTAATGGGGAAAGGAGGGTGGGGGTCAATGCTGAGAGTAGGTGGGGAGTGAGGGGAGAAGGTGGGCCTGCTGGGCCTGCAGAGGTAGGTGAATGGCCAGTGGTCACGAAGGAGGGACTGTTGCAGCCTTTCTGCATCTGTAGGGTCAGAACCTGGGGGATAGAGCCAGACCTGGGGAATTGGGGAGGAGAGCTCTACAAAGACCCAGGAGGTGATGGGCAGAGGGAGAATTCAGCCCAGGGATATTGCCAAACCCTAAATATCAGAAGTCCAGTTTTTTTTTGACATTTGGAAAGTTTTTAGTAAAAAGAAAATAAGGCTTCACCTACCTGGCAGTGAGTGTTTTCTTTCTTTCTTTGTACCTCTGCGTTTTTGGAGGCAGTGGTGAATATGGAGCTCTTGTTCCTTTTCTAATTTCTTCTCCCTTCATCTGAAGAGGTGGTTCAGAATGCAGATCTGACCCTTGGTCTTGTCCCCCCATCCCCCATCCTCGCTCATGTAGCCAGGATGTCCTAGTGCCATTTCTTGCAGCCTGACAGCTGTCTCCACCACTCCACCAAAATGGTCTTCTGGAAAGTCATAATCAGATAAGCTCTTGAGGGCAAATCTGGCTCCTTCTGATCCTCGGAGTCCTTCCTTATTCACATAGCCCGAGAGTCCCCTGAGGATGCAGGTCTGGGGTGACTTCAGTCTTGAGAGCTGAGCTTGTGGTATGACCTTGGGAGAAACAGAAATAGACCAGAGCCCTTCGTTTGGGGAAGATGCACTGACTGTCTTCTCCCTTCTTGCAGATTATGTTTGAGTTACTGGATGTCCCATCCATACTCCTGGCCGACCAGCTGGAGATGTCCCTGTACTCCTCTGGCCTGCTGACCGGTGTGGTGGTGGATTCTGGCTATGGCCTGACCCGCGTGCAGCCTTTCCAGCTGGGCCGCCCCCTAGCCTCCAGCAGGAAGACGCTGGAGTTCGCCGGCCAGGATCTCTCCTCCTATCTCTTCAGCAGCCTCTTTAAGGAAGATTGCAACCATCACAACCTGTTTCAGCTGGAAACGGTCACCGCACTTCAGATGGGCAAGTGCTACGTGCCGCAGCATCTGGGGGAAGCTCTGGACTTTCTTCAGAGCATGCCGAGTGGCTCAGATGAAAACAACACCTACCAGCTCCCGGACGGCACCCCGGTGGAGCTGACCCCCCTGCAGCGGCTGGCTCCTGAGATGTTCTTCAGCCCACAGGTGTTCGACCTGCCGGGGCCCAGCATCTCACAGGCAGTCGTGGATACCATCAAGGCCTGCGAGGCCTCTGTGCACCAGCTGCTGACCTCCCACGTGGTGGCCTGCGGGGGCAACACCCTCTATCCCGGCTTCACCACGCGCCTGTACAAGGAGCTGACCACGGATCACTTCTCTTCCACCAAGACCGCAGTATGGGTGGGTTCCAACAGGAACTTCAGTGTCTGGCTGGGAGCATCCATGATGGCCCATCTTTCCACGTACAAGTCTGAGTGGATGACCAGAGAGGAGTATGCCGAGAGCATGGGGGTGTGACCTGTCAGCTCACTCCGGGGAGTGGGTTCCTGTTGGTTGGGTGTGGGCGGATTAATTTCAGCAAAATGGTCTGGGCAGGGATTGGGTGGGGGGGTGGGGTTAGCTGGCTTTGAAATTCTGAGGTCATGTGGGATTTTTTTTAGGTTCTAAGGTTTTATCTTAGGTTTATCTAAGGTTTTAAGAGTAGGATCTAACCCAAGGGAGGCCAGGGTGTCATCCCTGGAAACCTAGAGGAGACAGTTTTTCCAGGGTGGCCTGTCATTGGGTTGAGGGTGGCTATTTGCCATCTCCACCTCTTATTTCTCACTGACGTTTCCCTTGGGTTGTCCCATTCCTGTTTGAGTGTGTTTTAATTGGGACAAGAGAATGGGACCTTTTGCTAGGATTCCCAATTATTTTTGACTAGGGGATAGGGAAGGTGTGGGTGGGGAGAGTTGAAGTTTCTAGTCCTACAGGCCCTTTCTAGCCAGGGAGGCCTTGCTGCAGGAGAGCATGGAATGTCCCTCGCACTGTGCCAGGGTCTTGTTTTTTATATGCAAATAAACAGTTTGTTTGGAACCAGCGTTGGCTCCTGTGATGGATGGGGGTAGGGTGGGCAGTCCCTTGGGGACACCCATGGAATGTGAATCTGAGAGAGCCAAGTCAGGTCTGGGGAAGGTTCTAGGAGCTTGGGGACCCATGGACAGTGGTCACCACTGAGCAGAATGGAGAAAGGCCTGGAGCGTCCCCCTCTTCCACTGCCACTCTCTCTCCATTCATCCAAGATGTCCCCGTAGTCTGTTAAAGTTTGAGTTCTTCTTAGTTTAATATGTATCTAAGAAGTGTTCAAGTACCTACTATGTGTCAGGTGCTGTACTAGGCTTTGGGGACTTCCAGGTGAAAAGGATACATGAGGTTTTTGTTTTCAAGGAGATGACAGTCTACTCTGGGGACCTAGACAATAAATAAGTAAATATATTTCAGATGATGAAGAATGAAATGAATTAAATGAAACATGGTAATTGGGTCTGGGGGTGGGGGATGGCTACTTTTGATGGGGTGGACTGAGATGGAGACTGCTGGGGACCGTCAGTAACCTCAGTGTCCTCTCCTTCCAGGGTGCACTGTGAGGCTACACTTCTGAGTCCCCGGCAGTTCAGGAGGGCCATGTGATTGGGTTCTGGCCAATTCAGTGTATGCCTAACTCTTAAAGTATCCTTAACAGCCTGTGGGATGCAGGGGTCCAGTGGAGGACTGGGAAACCTTAGGGGACATGAGGAAGAACCTGTCATGTATGGGGTTGTTTGTTACAGTGGCTGTTTTGCTTGTTCTGACTAATGCAGAGAAAGGGGCCATAACTTACTATTTATTTAGCAAATATATTTCTTCTGGTAAGTGGCAGAACTGGGGTTCGAACCCAGTCTGGGCTCTCAACCACTGTGTTATCCAACTGTTTCTGAAAAAGGCTTTGACTCCTAAATGTTAAAAGCTGGAATAGAGTAACAAGTATGTGAAGATTGAAGCCCAAGGAACCCAGATGTTTCAGGGGCAGATGGAGGAATTTGGAGGGCAGAGTCCAGTCCCCTCATCTTTGAACACATGAACTGTATTCTTTTAGCTACAACTTTGCCCCCAAACTGGCCAGCAGTGGTCCCCAGGGAAAGGAGCGGGAGCCTAGAAATTATGACTCTTTATTGGAACAGCTCAGAACCAGCCTGGTGCATGCCCCAGGGCTTGGGGTCTGACTTGAGTTACAAGCTGGCCCTGTTGTTAGCTAAGCTCCCCTGGGCAAGGTGTTTAACCTCTCTGAGTCTATCAGGTACACAATAGGAAGTGATACTTCCTCCTCTCGGAGATTTTGGATTGAGGATGAGGTAAGATGAGGGATGAGAGGTCACTTTGAAAACTATGAAGTACTATTGAAACATGAGATGTGACTTTATGTTTTATAATGTGATATCGTTCTCCTATCAATCAAGGCTATTAATAACAGCAGCAGCTACCATTGCCTAGCCAGGCATTGTGCAGCTTTACAAATGAAGTCACTTAATCCTCATGTGCACGCTGTGAAATGGGTGACATTTACAAATAAAAAAGCAGCAGCTTAGAAGTATTAAGCAGTTGCTCAAACTCACATTCAAGCTCAAGCTAATCATGAATTGTCAGAGTTATAGATTCAGCATTCCTAGAACACTAGACTAAAAGTGGCTCAAACAGAGATTTGTCACAGGTAACAAGTGTGCAGCCAAGGGGAGCAGTGGCACGTCCACATCATCACTGACTCTTTCCATTTTTCTATCTTTTATGTGGGAGCTTGCTGGGTTGTGGTCACGTAAAGGCTGCAGTGGCTCCAGGCATCACATCCATATTCCTTGCAGGAAAAGCAAGGGTGAAGGGAGTGTGCCATCTGAGTCCGTCTCTTTCTGTTAGGAGAGTGTCACCCAGCAGACTTCTGTTTATGTCTCATTACTTGCAGGTAGCTGAAAGAAAGACGAGGCACATAGGCACTGGGTGAGCCGACCACAGTGTCTATTCCTTGGCAGAGGAGGGAGTTTGAGCATAGGTCTATCCATACTAAGGCCCATGCTCTTACCTAAGGTGCCAGGCTGCCTTCCCAGCTTTCTGGGCCCTATTGGTCTCCTTGGCCTGAGAGATGCACATGTGCGATTTTCCAGGCTTCAGTGAAAGCTGCTTTTGGGTGGCAATCAAGGCATTGGGACATCCTGAGAAGTAATCTTTTGCTTGAATGCAGTGTATTTGTGTACACCTGAGCCTTAAAAGGCAGAAGAGGGGAACTCAGAAATGAGTATGTGGGAGAGGAGGGCCTGAAGAAGAGATGAAAAAAGGGTATTTTCTTCATTTAGTTCTGGGCAAATAGCATCAGACCTCTTTTTCTCATTTCATTCCAAATGTAACATTTAACCTTTCTGTTCAAGCATCAAATCTGGCTGCCTGGTGTATAATTATGAACTTTTCTTCACTTTTTCTTCTCCCTCCCCCACCCCAAAAGCTTTTAAAACTCCCTTGCTGGGTACCATCTCTCTCCTCCGATTCTCCAATTAAATTAAAAATAGCAGCTCCATGGGGCTGTGCAGGGCCATCAACCTAACGTGAAACTGCTGGCACACCAGGCCTGGCGGGGCAGTGTGTGGTGCCCAGAAGATGCCTGCCGGCTCCAGCATGGCCTGGCAGCTGCTTAGAGCTGGGGGAGGCTTATCCTCCATATGGGGTCTGGGGCTGTCTGCCAGGGGCAGCCAGGTGCAGGGGGTGGGAGGCAGGGTCTTGGCAGCTGGGTGAGGGGCTGAATGGGGCTGGCAGAGAGGACAAAGGGAATGGCCCCCAGGCGGGCCATCCCTGGTTGTGAGGATAGAGTCCTGCCAGTTTCTGTTGCCAAGGCTGGGGCTTGGCACCCTTGCATTTGGGTTTGGGTGGGATTTGGATGCCCCAGTTCCCTGAAATAACCCTGGTAGAGGCTTTAGGTTCTACTGATGCTGGGAATAAGGTCAGCATTAACACTGAGCACCCTTCTGGCTCTGTAAGAGACTTTTATTGCCTCTCCCACCTCTAGGACCCCTTTCCTTAGAGAGGCAGATGGTGAAATGGACAAGGGTACAGAACCTGAAGCCAGACTGCCTGGATTGGAATCCCTGCTCTGCTGCTTTCTGGTTCTGCTAACCACCTTGTGCCTCAGTTTTCCCATCTATAAAATGGGCATAACAAAGATGCCTACCTCAGAGTAGTTTTGTTGACTACTGTGTGACTTTAATGAGTTCATGCATATAAAACACTTAGCAAGTGCCAGACACATAAAGGTTAGCTGTTACAATTTCTGTACATACCAGCCTCTATTAACCGTGTGCTTAGGAAAAACCTGGCTCTTCCATTTATATTTACTTGCTCACATGCAGGCAGGTGCTAGTGATAGAAGATGGATGAAACATCATAAGGTGCTGGCTGCTTTCCAGGGGGAGGCAAGGCAGGGTAACTTCTTTCCTTGTCTGAGTGCTGTGATGGTTTGAATGCATCCCTCCAAAATTCATGTTGAAACTTAATCCCCATTGTGGTGGTGGGGCCTTTTGGGAAGTGATTATAAGGGACTCATGTCCTTATAAAAGAGGCCTCAGAGAGCTGAGGCCCTTCCACTCTTCCACCACATGAGGACACAGTGTTCATCCCCTCTGGAGGACGCAGCAATAAGGTACCATCTTGGAAGCAGAGAGTGAGCCCTTACTAGACACTGAATCTGCCAGTGCCTTCATCCTGGACTTCCCAGCCTCCAGAACTGTGAGAAATAAATGTTTGTTATTTATAAATTACCCAGTCTGTGGTATTTTGTTACAGCAGCAGGAATGGACTAAGACACTGAGTGATGGGGTAGAGCCCCATTGTGCACACAGAGGTATCAAAGGGGTCGGGTGAGTGGCTGCAGGTTGAAGTGAAACAGCCAGAGGGGTCTTCCATGAGGGATCTGCCTGAGATGATTCCTGCCAGAGGAGCAGGGCTTTGCACGTGCTGTTTCTTTTGTTTGGAATGCTTTTCCCTACTCCCACCGCCATAGTTGCCTTTGACAACCTGGCACGGGAGAATAAATAGATGGAACATTTAAAATGTCTGGGGAATAAGGGCAGTATGGCATGGGGAAAGATGGCAGGTCTCTAAGGACAACTAGTGTCACACCAAGGACAGAATGGTAAGCAGAGTTATGACATCACTTGAAGTAGGCCTCTGGGTAAAGTTTGGAGAATGGCTGAGAGAGGGATTGGAATAAGGGCAGTATGGCATGGGGAAAGATGGCAGGTCTCTAAGGACAACTAGTGTCACACTAAGGACAGAATGGTAAGCAGAGTTATGACATCACTTGAAGTAGGCCTCTGGGTAAAGTTTGGAGAATGGCTGAGAGAGGGATCGGAGCAGAGAAATAACATAAACCATGAAAAGAGGTGTTTCATTAAACTCTAAGCTAAAAATT